TTTTATATTTTATGATTACTACAAATAAATGAAATTTATTACCAAAAAGTATGGAAATTAAAACTTTTAGTTTTGATAGAATTTTATTTGCTTACATAAATTGATTAAAGCTGCTTCAAATCTAACAATTAACACGAAAAAGTAACAAAAAATAAAATAACAACTATATTGTGAAAAATAAAAAAGACAAACTAACGTAATATCAAACAATAACTTTAATGCGGAACTTGTAAAATAACATGTGAGTAAATTTGTACTTTTTATTTTTAATTAAATTAATGTATAAATTTACTATGTAATGTAATTCATATGAAAAATTATTAAAAAAACCTTAAAAATTAATACAAAATAATACAAAATGGATTTTATAAGCAACCAAGAAATAATATAAAAATCTTTAACCTTCACAAATGCATCTATAGAAAAAGAACATGTTATTAATAATTTATTTAGAAAAAGAAACAATTAATAAGAGATTAAAACAATAAAAATTATACCATTAACTTTAAGATCACAAAAATTCTTAACAGATGAAAATAGATAACATTAAAATATTAAAGAGATCGAAGCATGAATTTTATAAGAAACCAAAAAATAAATTAAAATCTTTCAAGTTTTTCAGCTTTTCATTCATAGAAATGAATGAAACATTGGTAGTTCTATTAAAAAGATATCTTCACACAAAAATAATAAGCTTAATTATTTAAATTAAAACCTTAAAAATCACTCCAAAATATCTTAAAAATCAAAACAAAATAATAAAAAATATTTTTAAGGAACTAAAAAATAAATTAATATCTTTAATCTTTCTCAACATTTCATCCCTAAAAAAGGTAAAAAGCTAAAAATTACTCTAAAAAATATTTAAAATAAAAATAAAATAAAACATGAATTTTATAAAGAACAAAAAAATAAATTAAAAATGTTTAGCCTTTCTCACCTTTAATCCATAGAAAGGATTGGATTGCTAAAGCTAAGTTTTGTATAAAGAAAAAATAATAAAAAAGATATTAAAACAATAAAAATCTTTTAATTTAAGATTGAAAAAAAAAAAAAGATTAAGATAGATACGATTAAAAATTTAAAAGATTAAGATATAGATTTTAAAAGAACAAAAAAATTATACTTTTAACTTTTAGATTAAAAAATATTAAAAGAAGTATTTAATTTTGTAAATGAATTTATCATGAAAAACATAATATAACTCAAATACTACCATAAGCTTAAGAAAATTTATAATAAAATCAACAAAGAAACTATTAATTAAAAAATTACAATATTTTTAAATAAATCAAATCATAACCACAATGAAAAAAAATTAAGAACCAACAAAATAGTGAAAATGTCATGAAAAAGATAACTATTAGCTATCAAAGAAATAACTATAACAACTCAAAATTCATTTTGCAATTTTTATGCATTGACTAATCTTGAAAACTCTAAGCAATCAAAGAGTAGGTACAACAATTTGATATTCATTTTATGAAAACAAAGTGCTTATCTTAAAATTCACAAATAAACTTGTCCCACAAGCTAATGCTTATAAAATTTTTTGCTAAAGATAAAATAATTAAAATGATATTTACTTTCAATAATAATAAAAGTTTATTTTTTAAAAACAAATCATCGCTCTTATGATATTGCTGATATAAAAAAAAAATTAAAAAACCTTAAATCTTGAAGGCATAACACTACATAGTTTACGAACTCATTACCGGAAGTTTGAAGATTAACAAATCTATATGAACAACAACACTATCTAATGAAAAAAAAATTAAAGAAAAATTATCTTAAAGAAAAGCACAAAACACAAAATCCATAATAAATTATATAAAAAAAAAACTATTACGCACTTATATATCTGAACCATTATCAAAACAATCATAACCTACAAACAAAAACAAAAAACATATCATGAAATATTTATACATTCATCAAGCATCTTTTTGGTGATGGTATTAACAATAAAATGAATCATATCATTGAAACAATTATTCGATAATCATCTTTATTTCTAACAATAGAAAATTTTTTGATATAGTATAAACCTCCTTCATACTCTTCAACCGATATGGATTATGACTCCAAAGAATATCATGAATTTCATATCTTTATGTTAAGTACAAAAAATGATAAAATAAATCAAAAAAATGAAAATATAAAAACAAAAAAAATTTTATTTACTTGCCTTTTTATCAACCACCATCATTTTTGTGCTAATACTTGTTTATTTTTATAATTATAAATATCCTACAATCAACATACATATTCCAATTAGCTAAAAGACAAACTTGAAATGAAGAAATCATAATCATAACAAAAAAGTATATAAATAAAAATATAAACATTAAAAAAAAATAATCGACTTAAAAAACTTAAAATGATAAAAAAAAAATCATAGATTCTAATTAAAAATAAAAATTTATAAAAATACAAACACAATAAAAAACAAACCATGTGATTGGGAATAGAAAATGTAATACATATATGAAATACATTTATATAACACTCTCATCCCTAAAAAAGAAGAAAAAATCATAAGGTTGATTTTCAACCTCTAAAATTTTCAAATTTGATATAGGCATGTCTTATGTACCTAGGTTTTTCTACTACCTTATGTAAGATAATGGGAAGTAATATGACCTCTAGGACTTTTATTGATGATGTTTTTGGTGTCTTAGTTAAAAAGAGGTGAGGTGAGGTTAGAGAAAAGATAATCTAAATCTAAAGTTGAAGAATAGAGTTAAAGGGTGTCAGAATTATCATTTTATGGTGTGTTTCGATGTCGCGTTGGGTATGAAAGAAGAAAGGAAGGTAAAAGAAGGTGAAGTGTGAATGAGAAGCTTCAAAGTAAGGAAAGCATAGATGTGAAATATAGGCATGTCTTATGTACCTAGGTTTTTTTACTACCTTATGTATGAGATAACGGGAAGTAATATGACCTCTAGGACTTTTATTGATGGTGTTTTTGGTGTCTTAGTTAAAAAGATGTGGGTGAGGTTAGAGGAAAGATAATCTAAACCTACAGTTGAAGAATAGAGTTAAAAGGTGTAAGAATTATCATTTTGGGTGTGTTTCAATGCTCAAGTTGATGATATATTTGAGATAAGGGTATGAAAGAAGAAAGGAAGTCAAAAGAAGGTGAAATGTGAATGCGAAGCTTCAAAGGAAGGAAAGCATAAATGTGAAATATAGTCATGTTTTATGTACCTAGTTTTTTCTACTACCTTATGTATGAGATAATGGAAAGTAATATGACCATAACAGTTGACACTTGATGGGATATATACGTAAAACTCAAAAAAGATTCACATGAGTAATTATGAGTCACATTAATGATTTATGTAAACATGAGCTATATTTAATAATTTCTAATAAATTAGAGGTCAAATAATTAATTTTAAAATAATTGTCTCAATAAAATATCAGTGAGATATTAGATGAATCTTTTTTTTAACAAAAGATAAATCATTTTTTTAAGAGTAAATGACATGATGATTTGAGTGTGCCTTACTTAAGTAACCTAAGAATACAATTATATTAACTAAACTTTAATCAAATTAATCATTGACCACGTAATTGGGTGTGATAATTAACCCCCAAAGTTCAAGGGGGGTTATAAAGTGATTGTTGTCAAACCGCTGTCCAAAGCTCGAAAAGAAAAGGAAAAATTGTTACGACGAGGCAACTGTGGCTTGGGGAGCTTACTACGGTGACGTCTCATTTTGAGAGTCATTGAATGTCCTTTGGCGAGCTATAAAGTTGGTCGAATCATAAGGAGCAGTAAGTGAGAACTTATGAAAAGTTTTTGTGAGATCACGAGACTTCCGTGTGGAGCACGTTCAATTGAACCGTATCATATAAGGCGGTGCTTGGCACACACCCGTACTTTTAAGGGATGCGGCTCGACAAGTTACGTGTCACACTTGGAATAAAGAGCTATCGTATGAAATTAATCGGTGCACTTTTTCAAAGTGCACTTATTTCGAAAGGGTGTGTACGTGTTTATTTTTTTTTAAAAAAAAGGTAACTGAAGGAATTTTCAGGAAAGGATTAATTTTGTACCATTCATGAATCAGTTAAAATGGTTCAAACAATAACCTTTTTCTTTTGTTTCTATAAATGGTTGGCCCAATTTGTCTGAACATTTTTTGCGTTTACTCGTCATTATTTCTTAAGTAATTGTTAACAAACTAACGATTAGAGTATTTTTTTTTTCTTTTAGGATTACTGTGATTTAAATTTTAATTATTTAAATTTAAATTTTAATTATTTAAATTAAAATTTTAATATTTTATCAATAAATTATATGATTATTGATATTATTATTTTTTAAAATATTTATTAATATAAAAAATTTAAAATTTAATTTAATTAATTAATGTAACTATTTTTTAAAATTTATATCTAATAAATTTGAATTTAAATTTTATTACTTATATATATATTTATCTTTACGTTGTAATTTTATTTATAAAAAAATATTTATTAATATTAATAAAGGATTGATTCAATTTGTTAGAATTATTTTTTTTATAAAAAATTTTTGAATTTAAATTATATTGATGATCATTTATTAAAATCATCTTAAATATATGACTTATAATTATTCATCTTAAATTATCACGTATAATATATTTTATTTTAATATAAAAAATTAAATAATCGAAAATTTTTCTTATATAAAAAAAAACCTATTAATATAATGCCTAACATTTATTAATTTCAAGGTAAATTTATAATGCAAAAGTAATAGTACTCTCATTAGTAATGTTTATATTTTTACTTTTTTTTTTTTTTGGCAAAAATGATGATATTTTTATTTTTATTATTTATTAAAAGCAATAAAAGACGCAATTTTTGACATAGATAGATCGGTCAGCAACAAAAACCGACGATATTTGGAAACAAGATCCGATCCACCGCTTCCTTCTCCTACTTACATAACACATTTAAAATATCTTCACATGTTATGCTCACATCCCGACACAGTCAAATGATATCCTACCACCCTCTAGGCTTCTGCATTCTTCCACGTGTCACCTCTAGATTCCCACACTCCCTAATCATCCTCCGAAAACACACTCATCTTCATTCCCCACTCAAATTCGATCAAAAACCAAAAGCTTCAATTTTTTTTAACCTTTCTTTCAATGGCTGATTCTGTGTTTTTCCCTTTGGCTGCCAAGGCTCCCTATGATCATTCTTCTTTGGTTTTCCGAAACTGCCGTTTCCCTTCACGTTTGTTGCCATCCCAGTCCTTCTCTTTGAAACTGAATGGGAATAAGTTGAATGTGTTGGCCCTGAGTCAGTACTCGTTCCTCTCGCTCCACCACCGAGTTGGCCCGATTCGTGCTCTTGAATCGGACGTTCCTCAGCCACTTCACAAGGTAGAAAACGAGCTCTTCTAAAATTCTTTTATTTTTTTAAAAATCGAAAACAGTGGCAGTTATTGACAGTTATTTGAAAATAAGGCTCTGTTTGCCTGCTGGAAAATGTGAAATGGAGTATTTTTTATTGATTTTAATTTTTGTTAGTGTAGTTTTATACGAGGGAATCAAATTATCTAATTTTTTTATTACTTTGCTTCAATTTTTTTTATTTAATTTTTTGTTTTTTTAATAACTGAATTTTGAGCAACCAAACAAGGCATTAAAATGAAGCCATAGATTTTTATTTTTATTTTTTATAAATGACAGATTAATTCAAAAGGGGTATTTCAATTTTTAAGTTTATTTTTTTAGTTTATTTTATTTGATCTTTCCTCAGTTTTTTAGGAAAAAACAAAAAAAAAAAAAACACAGTCCATCAAAGGCCCTATATTTTTTAATGATGCGGTGGATTGTTGACAATTTCATGGAATTTAGGTTTAGGAAAATCTGACGAAAGAAAAGGATGGGATTTGGGATTTAAAATTTGGCTTAATAGATCTGAATTGGTTTAGTAGAAATTTGTGTAAGTTGTGTTAAAATGTTCATTAATGATTCTTTGTGTTTGTTGTGAAATTTGAAAGGATTCAGTGAATTTTAAGAGTACAAAGAGCTATGAGGAATGGGATTCATTGACAGCAAAGTTTTCTGGGGCGGCAAATATACCATTTTTATTGCTTCAATTGCCTCAGATCATCCTCAATGCACGCAATCTTCTGGCAGGGAATAAGACTGCCCTTTTGGCAGTACCATGGATGGTAATTAGAATTTGAGTTAGATTTCTTTTGGTTACTTAACATTTTATGTTTTTGTTTCTTAATTGTTGTTTTTTAAACCTTTTTGCTGATATCTTGAAGCCAAAATTTAAGGTTTAAAGATAAAATGAATAATTTGAGAGGGCTTCTGGCCTTTTATCAATTGTAGTGAGGGCAATATGCTAAATCTGCTTGCCTTTTTGCTTTGGAAAATATCCACACTAGGCCATAGACAAAGTGATGAAACAGTGAATTTGACATCATCTGCTTATTGTGGGGGCAAACAATATATCGGTAAATAGAAAATAGACACTGAGTTGTAAGTTTGTTGTGCAGTAATTTATATGGGTTTCCTCGAATTTAGTCAGCTGAAAACATGGTACACAAACGTCTACTTGTGACAAGGGCTTAGCATAATTTTTGTGGCTTTGAGTCTTCTTATAGAATATCTAACAGTTGAAGGTGTAATTTGTTTTTGTGGACTCATTACAAGAACAGTCATTATTTGATGATCCTATTAAGTCTCTGCTGAGCAGTGATTATGACCTCTATTTTATGGAACTTTTATAATCTTAAATTTTGTTCTATTTTCTTTCTTGAATTTTTTCAAGGAGCCAAATGAAGATGTCATTTTAGGAACCTAAGAAAGGGAGTGTTGTACATGCAGGGAATGTTCACTGGTTTGCTTGGAAACCTTTCACTGCTTTCTTACTTTGCCAAGAAAAGGGAAATGGAGGCAGTTGTGGTGCAAACACTAGGAGTGGTATCGATATATGTGGTGATTACGCAGCTCGCAATGGCAGAAGCTATGCCGCTACCTTACTTTGTGGCCACTTCTGCTGTTGTGGGTGCTGGACTCATTTTAAATTTTTTAAACTACCATGGTATGCTCAACGTGACAATCTGGCAATTTTGGGAAGATTTTATTACTGTTGGTGGACTTTCAGTGCTTCCCCAGGTAAGCTCTTAGTCCCCTGTTTTATGCACACACTTAAAAATTCTGATGCACACAAACTATGTATTTACATATCAACAAAATCTATTTATATTTGGAAATTTAACATTGGTTTATTTATTCAAGACGAGAACCTTTTCTTTAACCAATTTGAGTACAGATAATGTGGTCCACATTCGTCCCATATATACCTAATAGCATCTTGCCAGGGGCAATAGCTTTTGTTCTTGCTATGGCAGCTGTAACTATGGTAAGATCTATATGCTGCTCTATGATATTGTTACATTTTAATTGATTAAACTTTTTTCATTTATCATGAATGATTGGTGAGCAATAAGACTCATAGTTCCATCTATGTATTGTAAAACCCTCTTACTTTGGGAACTTCTTGCCTTTGTTTTCTACAAATGAATAATTAGAAAATAGGCAGTACAATTGCACTGTTTTAAATTTGCACTTGCCAAGATTTGCAGGCACATATGGGCAAACTTTCAGCGAAAGGTGTCAAATTCGTTGGAGCTATTTCTGGATGGACAGCAACACTTCTTTTTATGTGGATGCCTGTTTCACAAATGGTAATCCTTGTTTGAACTTATATATCTAAGGCTCTGAAGATATCAAGCAAAATTGGTTAATACATGCATATCTGACTAAGATTTGTGCTTTCTTTTCAGTGGACAAATTTCTTGAATCCTGATAATATTAAAGGCCTATCAGCTTTTTCAATGTTGCTTGCTATGATTGGAAATGGACTTATGATTCCACGTGCTCTATTCATTCGTGATTTTATGTGGTAATGCATTCTTTCAATTTTATTAACTTATTTGTATAAATGATTCCGACCACATGCACACAACGGTGAAACCAGAAAATATTATTGTAAAAAACTAACCAGAGTGAATTATAAGTGACTTCAAAGTCAACAGTTTTTTATTTCTGATTTTTATCCTTCTTTGGGTTGATTTTGTGCTCATTTTTTTCATTACATTAATTGTCCTTACATGGGCAATGCTCTTTGCAGGTTCACTGGTTCTACTTGGGCAACACTCTTTTATGGTTATGGGAATATTGTATGCTTATACTTGTAAGGAATATCTGATTTATTATGTGCATGCTTATACTTGGGCAACACTCTTTTATTCCCTGCTGCATTTTTTATCATGAAGTGTCTCAATTGGCTTTTTTTTTTTTTGTTTTTTTTATTCCAGTTTCAACTCTATCAGCCGAGAATTCTTCTTTGCAGCAACAGTTGGTTTGATTTCATGGCTAGGTTTTCTCTCCATCCCATCTAACTAAGATTACACTATCCTATGCCCTAACTCTTACCGACTAGAGATATAGAGATGGAGAAGGGAAAACAAATTTAATCTGTTTTTTACCTTACAATTTTTATGCATCTAATTAATTTTCCCCCATCAACAGGAATGGCTCTATGGAGAAACACTGTTGTATGTGGATATGACTCACCGATAAGAACTTTGAAAGAGTTGGTTTTTGGATCATAAGGTGAAGCCAGTTGTGACAAAGCCATGAGTTGGAATGGCACAAAAGTGATTTGCATGATCTTGAGCATGAAATATTCTTTGCTGAGATTCCAATTATGTGGTCAATATTGTGGCCACAGTCTGCCAACTAAAGAGTTTACCAAATCGATAGTAGTGCATGTTCCTAATTTCCAATGATTTTATTTGCAAACATAGCTGGAATGATCATATGTAATTAGTACTGGAATTGAATAAGGATGGATGATATGACAGTTCATGTTATCAGGAACTGCTGTCCAATTATACAAACTTGGACTGGAAAATGGTTGGCGTGAGGTATATTGCAGAGTGATGGCAGATAATAAACAGCCTGATTCCAATTACTGCTTGCTTTGGGGCGTTATAATGTTCTTGCTGAACTAATTAATCTTTTCTCATACTTTTTTGTGCTATAATTTTTTTGTAGGAGGAAAAATTCCTGTCAAAATCGTTCTCTATTATGAATTACAATTTTCCTTCATGTCATTTTGAGATGTCATAACCATAACCATGCTAGGCAGTCGAGATACTTGTAAGGATCTTGTTCCATTATTCTCTAGATTGTTGTTTTCTGTAGCGATAGTCGCATATTTTGGAGATTGGTTTTCACACGGTTTTGATCAACTCTCTTCTTGGCATACACTATTTAGGTAATTTAGACGGGGCTTTGGTAAGTTGTGATTGGGCCCAAAAAAGAGCTCCAATCGCACCATAGCATTCGTTTTGTTCAATGGAGATAATTACCCAGTGAACATCAAGGTGCTTTTTAACTTCTAAAGTGGCTGGTCTTCATATTTAATATTTTTAATTTTTATGTTTGTACCGCTTTTTATTAGTTTTCGATTTCAGAATCATGTCAATCCTCCAATAATGTGATATTGCTTTATTCATAGTCTGATATTATAAATGATTACACCTGTGATTGCTAGGATTTTAAATGCTTATCCTGACTTCAAATAACTCGTTTCCAGTATTGAACTGTATTTACTCAGGTGTGTAAACCATACTCTTTTGATGTAATAGCATTTCCATAAATGTACACTAGGATGTTTCTTTTCTTTATTTTTAGGGTTGGGTTGGGGAGTGAGGCTAGTATAGTTATTTGGACACTGCAATACATTTTCCTTTGAATGATAATGATTTGTCTGTACTATGACTTGCAAAGAATTTTGGGATCTTTAACATATAGTTTCTTTGTATATGATGTGCCTGGCTGGGTGAGTTGGAAAAATGGAAGTTTTGTTCAACAATTTTTTATTTTTTTTTAATACTTGAGACTCATAATTTGAACTCTGAACACTAAAATTAAAAGTTGTTCAATTGCCTTTGTTCCCTACAATACTTTCATGCTTGTTTGTCCTTTTATTTTGTTTGGTATCTTTAACAGAGGGAAAATGACTATAAGAGAAAATGCAAAGTTCAAAGCAAATAAAGAAACATAACTCAACATTATAAGACTTGAAACCTCTGTATAGTCTCAAAGTTGCTTCATGACAATGCTAAGAGAAGGAAACATGTATGCATCTTTCAGTGATGAGAGATGTTACAGTTTCATGAAATCCACTTTAAGGGCTAGACAGCACAAGGAGAAATGCTTAATGATAAAATCACTATTAATAATTGCACTAAAGCAACATCAATCAAAGGTTATACATCAGAGTTACCAAGGTCATCAGATTGTCACCTGAACAAAATGTTTTCTCCAACAACAACAGCGAAGTGCGGTAACCAAGCTATGAAGTCTTTCTTTCCTGACTGAAAGTTGAAAAGATGGATACAACTGAAAAGCTTTGAGCCCCATGTCTCAGCAAGTCTTCTTCCACAATCAGAAAAAGCATTTATAACCTCTATAACTAGCTCTTAGCAAATCAAGCTCTATACATTGAAATATCACAAATGCTTTCCCATGCAATGACTATGTTCCAATGTTATTTCCGAATCAGCCTAGAAACTTCATTACTGGTGGAAAAGCAATTCCCTGGATCTTGTCCAGCAATACAAGATAGACATACATGCCACAAATTGAGTGCATACTGATTAATGAGGTTTGGTGCAGTTCTGCAAAGTATCGTACAATACAATATATTAATAGGCTATTATGAAACGACGAATGACTGACTAAAAGATGTACGAATTGCATTATAAAATATCAACCATGGAACTCTTGCCTCTAAAAACAAATTTCCTGAAGCTGAATCCAACCGCCAATACATGACAATGGAAAATTATTGCCGCTCAAAGATCAAGAAATCTGTTCAAATGGAAATCGATGGGTTATTTCCACTTTTCATGTTCTTTATCATAAGAAGATATAAAGAGGGAAAAGATTAAAGAAAATGCATGCCTATAATGTGAAAATAAAAGAAAGAACCTAAAATGTACATACCGACTCTGTTGGACTAAGAATGGCAGATAAAAAGTCCATAAATGAAACCCACGACAATCACCATGTATCGTAATGACTGTAGAAAGGCCTAACATGTCAGTGATTAACCGAGATAGTCCAAACATGACGCTGGCAAATTGCCAATCAAATTTCAAAGATTACAAAGCAAAAGAAAATTGATTAAATAAAATGCAGGCATGACTTTTATTAAACCTTTCTTACAGTCAACATGCATAAGATTCAAAGTGCTAAAAACTGCGAATAGTTTTCATTGCCAGCATCACTACTTATCAGAAATGGAAGCAGCAACAAGACATCCGTATGCTAATAGCAATGTAGTAAGAGCATACCATGCACAAAGAACTGAAGCTGGGTTTCTGAAGGAGGACCCGAGGAAGATCAGGAAGGTTGGCTATCCAAGTCGAGGGAATCCCCTGTTTTTGTACTTAGCTTATTCCTTATGTGTTCTTTCTCTTGTATAGTCCCTTCCAAACATTCTGAGCCTTGAACTTCTTTCCTTCTTTTGCAAAGGTAGAATTGACATCTGAAAGAGTACTTTCACATGGTGTAAACTGTTTATCATTCATTTCCAAAAGTAAATTTTTCACCTCAACTAGGCATGACATTTTTGATGCCCTGTCCAGCTCTGGTCGGTCAGAGAGGTTACACCAACCAGAGATTAGTGTGTCATAAGTTGAAGAATTAGGCAATGCTCCCCTCAATTGCATCTCCTTGAGAAGCTCTCTAGCTTGGGCCATTTTTCCTACTTTAGCAAAACCATTGATAAGCACATTGTAGGTGCTAGTTCTGGGAACAAATCCTTTGGTAATCATTTCACAATAAACTTTTATAGATTCCTTTTTATTTCCAATCTTACCATGGCCAGATATCAATGTATCATATGTTGAAGCATTAGGGTTCAAGCCTTTTTCTTTCATTTTGCTAAACAATTCATCTGCTTCTTCCATTAAACCAGCACTCGAGAGACCTCTCAAAAGAAGATTGTAAGTTACAAGGTTTGGTGGAACTCCTTCCCTTAACATCTGAGAATATGTAGCAAAACCCTTCTCTACATGGCTGCCTAAGCAATATCCATGTATAAGGGCGTTGTAAGTTATCGTATCAGCTGAAAAGCCTCTTCCTGTCATATCTTCTAAAACTGAAATGGCTTTGCTGGTCATCCCCAGTCTGCATAAGACAGTTATGAGAGTGTTGAAAACTGCCTGATTAAGTTTAAGACCCATGGAAACCAGACGTTCATGCATTAACAAAATGGCATCAGCCCTTCCATTCCTTGAGGATGCATCAAGCAGAAATCTGTGAATTGCAGTAGTAGGTGAAAAGCCTAAAATCAGCATCTCATTCAAAACATTCAGAGCTTTTTGAATTTCACCAGCTTTACAAAGACCTCTCATCAGAATGTTACAAGTTATGGAATTTGGCATTAACCCACAACTCTTCATGTCATCCCAGAGGTTTAATGCATATTCAAACTTACCCTCTTTGCAGTATGCATTAATCATGGTATTGCATGTAATCAGGTCTGGAGCCAAACCCAACTCTCTCATTCTAGCATAAACAGATTGTGCCTCATATTTTCCAAGCCTCAAAAGACCATTAATTAAGACATTGTATGCAACAACATCAAATGGTATATTTTTCTGAATCATTTCCTGGGCCAAGGAAAGAGCAGCTGACTCCTTTCCCTCTTTGAAAAAGCCATCCATCAAAGATGTATAGTTTACTTGGTCAAGTGACAAGCCCCTAGACGTCATATCTTTAACTAATCCCTCAGCTTCCCCCACCCTTCCAGATCTTTTCAAGTTGTTAACAAAAGCATCAAGTATAAAATTGTTTTCCTTTAATCCTACCAGTTTCATTTCATCATAGAGGTCAAGAGCAATTATGTCTTTACCTGCCTTGAAATATCCATCTATTAATGCAGCATAAATAAATACATTTGGCAAGATACTTTCACCCACCATCTTCCTCATAATGTTAACAGCTTCATCAAGCATTCCTTTCCTGATGTAGCTGTTTATGATAGAAGAATAAGTCACAACATTAGGAACAACATTTTTTTCCTTCATTTCTTCCAATGCAGATTCTGCACCATTTATGTCTCCCAACTTGCAGCGGCCATCAATCAATGCTGAATAGGTGGTCAAATTAGGCACCAATTTGTGTTGTAAAAGATTAATAAACATGTTTTCTGCCTCTTTAGGTTTTCCAACCTTAAAAAGCCCATCCATCAGTATAGTGTACACAACAACATCAAAGGCAATTCCACGAACAACCATCAGACTTTGAAGGGCAAAAGCATCCATGGAATTCCCTGCTTTAAAGAATGAGTCCATAAGAGTAGCATAAGAGACATGGTTAGCATCCACACCCATCTTTTCCATCTCCCTCAATAGCACTTTTGCTTCAGTTAACTTTCCATGCTTGCAGAGGCCATTTATGATTGAATTATAAGGAACGGCATCAGGGAAAATCCCCTTTACAACCATTTCTTCATACAAAGAAAGTGCTTCCTCAAGCGCTTCTCGCTTACAGTAGGCACTTATTAGTGTAGTGTGCGTAATAAGGTTTGGTTCCAACATCACACTGTTATCACCCTCATTTTGATGATCATTACCACCCAAAATCTTAAAATCCTTTTTCCTACTAGACCTCAAAACCTCATCGATTAAACTTTTAGCCTTAACAAAATCACCCTTTTTGCAAAATCCATTTATCAAAGAATTATAACTAATGATATCAGGCACTAAACCTTCTCTTCTCATCCTATCCATTAATTCAACAGCATAATTCATATCTCCACTCTTACAATACCCATCAATCAATATGTTAAACCCTATAACATCCTTAGAAATCCCACCATTCACCAAATTATCCCTAACCCACTCTCCATATTTAACCAACCCAATTCTACAAAATCCCTTTACAACTATATTACATGAAAAAGTATCAAAATTTATACCCTTTTTGAACATTTCGGACAGAAAGCCAAAGCCTTGAAAAGCCAAACCTTGCTCACAAAAACCCCAAATCAAAGTATTATAAGTAACAGTATCAACATTATTGTTGTTATCAACACTTCTAAGAAATTCCAAGGCAAAGCTCAAATTACCAACTTTGGCAAAAGAATGAAGCAAAACATTTATAGTGAAAACATTAGGCAAAACCCCACAAGCTATCATCTCAGAGTAAAGTAGCATTACCTCGGAAACCAAGCCAAAGGCATTGAAACTGTAAATAAGCTGATTCCATTGGGACAAAACAGGAATAAAACCATGTTTCCTCATGTCAAAAAATGTCTCCTTGGCATGGGAAAATCTTCCACAGGTTAAGTATAAGTGGATAAGAGTGCAGAAAAGTGAGGCGTAAAGATGGGACTTGGATGACCGGATTATTGGATTGGAAAAGGTTTTTGAAAAAAAGGGTGGTGGGGTTTTGGAGAGTTTAAGGAGTGAAGGGTGGTTGGATGATGAGAAAGTGGAGGATCTTGATAGAAAACGGAAGGGAAAGAGAGATTTTTTATGGGCGGTGAAATATTTTATCATAGCTAAAACTTTTGGATTTGCTTTTTAAGTGAAAAAACAAAATGGGGCTTTGGTTTAGCGTTGTTGTGTTGAAGTGGTTTCTTAGGATTTCGGAACTCAGACTGAGCAGACAAAGAACAATTGAACAGAGTTTCTACAAAGTCTGCTACTCGACGAGTTCTGTTCGATGTCGAGTTGTCAATACTTATGTAATACGTCATCGTTTCGCACGTTGAAAAGAGTCAGAATTGCCAACAGAGAAAAAAAATATATGATCACTTAAACGCACCGTTTAGGGCTATGAAAACTAAAAAAATTCCTTCATTTTCTTCTATTTCTTTCGCTCTTCTACACTTCTCGCTCTCTCTCCCAAATTCGCCGGCCACTGTGCTTCGCCGTCGGCTGTCACTCGCCGGTGTAAGTTTCACCGAAAAATCAATTCGTTTTTCTCTTCCCGATCTCTTAAGTTAATTTTGTTCTTCATTTCTCAGATGACAAGCCAATAGAAAAACAATGTCAACTAAATCACAAGCATCTTCATGGTCTAGGCTCCTAAGCCAAAGACTGCCTTTATTGTCCCCGAAAATCTCAACTTTCCCACGTGTTCTCACCACCCAAACACCCGGCTTTCACATTTTGCCTAATACCCATTTCTCAGATACTTCCATCCCCAATGATACCCCTAAAACCCCCACTAAATCTCACTTCTCATTTTCTCGGAAAATCTCAACTTTTTCTCATTTTACCACCTACCAAACACCAAAATCCTCACTTTCTTCACAAAAATGCCGTTTCTCCACAGCCTTCTCATCGAGAGCTGTTGAGGATCTTCTTGCTGAAGTAGAGCGTGAGAAGCAGAGAGAAAGAGACGATAGGAAGACAAAAGGTTTGGATGCAAAGGATATTGATGAAGAGGATCAAGAAGATTACATGGGTGTAATGCCATTGATAGAGAAGCTTGAGAAGGAGAAATTGAAGGATACTCCTGATTTAGACCTTTATGAGGAGCCAACGGATTCAGATAGTGAAGAAGATGATGAGTGGTTTGCTGCAGAGGCAAAGGAGAAGAGAGTAGAGGAACTTCAGAAGAAGCTTAAGAGGCATGAGGAGTTGCTAAAGAACTTCGCCGAGGCTGGTAAGCGAAGAAATCTTCTTTTTGTTATTGTTTTGCTTAATTAGAAGTGGTAATGATATACATTAGATGTGTGCATATAGTGTAGAATGCATATAAAATACCAAAGCATATCACCTACAATTACTGTAGTGCAATTTACCAATTATAATTCATGTAAGGTCCATAACAAAATTATGTAGAGCCCACACTTTTAAGTAGTGGATCAGTTCTGGATTGTGATTGGCTAATTTTAGTATTGTAGTAAAGAGAATTGTAGGTGAAATGATCTCATAACATACATGCATGCACGCTAAGAAATGTTAATCTTATGGCTTTAGGCTTGTATAGTTGAGTGTTAGAGGGTTGGGATCGTTATTAGGTTGCTAAAATAAAGAATTTGAACTTCAGTTTTCCTTGGGAAAAAAGGAGGTTGCAACTATGGTCAAAACCAATCATTCTTCTTTGTCAAATTTGTTCAGCAATAAGACAAATTGATTATTGTATTGTTTGCTTTGATCGATTCGTTGAAAACTTTCAAACGAACTCAGACACATTTGGTACTTTCATGAAGTACATAAATTCTGAAATAAAGATGCTTTTGTATAATTAGTGATAATGAGTATAATAACAATGTAATACATTAAAAATTTGTTTAAAGTATTTAGTAACATCTTTATATATGATATTTATGAAATTTCATTAATTAGTCTATTGATTACCAGTTACATTTTCACACTTGACAGAGACACTCGATGATTGTTTTAAATGGATGAATAAAATTGACAAATTCGAGGACAAGCATTTTAAACTTCGTGCTGAATATAGGGTCATTGGTGACTTGATGAATCGACTTAAGGTTGCAGAAGATGAGGAGAAATTTATTCTTCAACAAAAATTGAATAGGGCAATGAGGCTGGTTGAGTGGAAGGAGGCCTATGATCCCAACAATCCTGCTAATTATGGAGTTATTCAGCATGAACAAATCAATTCTTCTGTTGATCTTGTGGAGAATGCTGGATTTGAGAAGGAGAAGCAAATGATACATGGAGATGATGATGATGAAGTATTTGATGACATGAAAGAGAAGGATGATATACTATTGGAGAAGCTCAATGTCATTGACAAGAAACTCGAAGAGAGGCTGGCAGAGTTGGATCATACATTCGGGAAGAAGGGAAAGCTGCTAGAGGAGGAGATCAGAGATCTTGCAGAGGAAAGAAATGCTTTGACAGAGAAGAAAAGAAGACCGCTTTACAGAAAGGTAAGTGCATACAAGATCCTCCTTCATTTATGTTGCTTCAAAACAGTTTAGTTATTTTTGAAATAGTAATTCATGACTTCAGGGAAAGAAGCTAAGCTAATGTTATTCTTCATTTTCTTAAATATATTCTATTATATGCATGCCTTCAGTGAGCATGCTCTGATGGTTTTAGTTCTCCTTTTTCACTTCCTTTTTTCATTTTGTTCCAAGAATGAAATGTGTTATATCATTTAAAGAATGCTAACAAATTTCCTTAGCTGAAGTTTTATTCTTCTTCATATTCTGGTTTATATAAGTGCACATATTCATTGTTCATTCAGGAGTTAAGTAGAAAAAATTTCATTTCCTTCATGTGAGGAACATGAGATGTCTGTATAAAAGAATTTGTAATGTGCTATATAGTTGCCAGCATACTTGTTCGGTATTCCCGGATGGCTATGTAGTGAACTTATCTATTCCTTTGAAATTTGAATTTGAAGGTCACAATGTGTTTGTTTTGTGTTTGAGCCATGTGTTAAGCCGCCTTGTCAATAGCTATAATTGAACTTGATCATGCGGTACATGAGGAGTTTTGTTTAGAAATTCATTGCCTAAACTGTTGTTGCCCTTTCTGTGCTCAGAGGTATCAAAAGAAAAAATTCTATGATATAACATTTCATTTGGAATTACGATGTAGTCCATTGACAATATATCATTTTATTGCATAAATCTACTTTTTGGGGAAATGTCATTGGATATGCAGTCCATTAGCGGCAATTACATTTTTCATGTTAAGAAGCCTATACTCTAATTTTGGATGTAATTTTTCTGAGAACATGGAGGCTGAGGAGATATGCAATGGTGTATTAAGCTATATAATTAATTAGCCTGAATGTCATGTAGTGGACGTGATGGATGTGATATAAGATTTGCAGCTTGCAGCTCTTGTCGTTTAAGTTTGAAGAACTAAGTGTCATAGGCAGTCAAATAAAAAAGTTTTCAGCTTCAATCTTGATTAACCACTATAATATGTGCTTTTGACTATCAATTGCTAGAAAATTCTCACCGACTTTTAAAATTTCAAGTGCATGCTGTTGTCTCCGTGGAAAGTTTTTGTTTTTCAAACAGTTTCATGTTATATTTACAATTAACTCCGCTTTTATTGAATAATGGCAGGGCTTTGATGTAAAGTTGATAGATGTAAATCGAACTTGTAAAGTAACAAAGGTAATCTCATGCCATCTAATTTTGATTTGTTCTTAGAGTGATTTCTATATAATTCTTTTGAATTTGATATTGTCCAGGGAGGGCAAGTGGTCAAGTACACTGCTCTGTTAGCTTGTGGAAACTATCATGGTGTTGTTGGCTATGCAAAAGCCAAAGGCCCAGCAGTCCCTATTGCACTTCAGAAGGTAACTTATTTTTGCTTTTCTTCATATATTGTTGAATAATTTTGCACTGGATCATGGATAGGTGAATTAGTTATTTAACTTCTATTAGGTGGCTGGTAAATCCAGTCTATTCAGACAGACATGTTTTACATTCTTAACCAGATGCGAGTGTAGATCTTTTTTAATGGTTAATGTCATGAATAGCCCTCAAACTATAATAAAATGTTCAATGAGGTACCTGAACTTTAAAAATCTCTAATGTGATACCTAAACTATGAATCTGTTGACTAATATGGTACTTGGAGGGTTGTTTTTTGCCATATGTTATCATTTGAAGCTAGCCATGTTAGGTGAATACCACATCAGTCAACAAATTCATAGTTCAAGTACCACATTGAACATTTCACTATAATTTAAGAGTCATTCATGATATTAACCTTTTTTTAATAATGTAAATTATGGCATAGCATCCAGTTTTACTTCCGACACCTTTGGATGCTGTTTTTAACATGCCATGAGTGGTAGGACACAACCTTCTTGTACAAGATAGGGATGAAAGTGGGAATAAGGTTAAAGCATATGAAAATTTGATACCTGTTAGTCCTGATGTAAAAATTACAATTTATATTAGAAGTTGCAATGTTGGAGTTTTTAACTAATAAAATAACCCTCCACCCCACCCCAACATAAAAGAAAATAATTTAAACAAAGAACCCATTGTCTGAATTCTATTTTTTGGATTTTTTGAGTTTGGTCTATCTGTATTTGTCTTTTATTATATCCATGTTCTCGATTTTATATACAACAAAATTGTAAGTTCCACATGATAAGTAGATTTTCTGCCTCTGGAACTTGTATAATGTAAACGTTTTGTTATGGCTGGGTTGAATGCTGTACATTTTAGTTTGACGTATGGCTAAATTTTAAATAAACCATGTTCTGATTCACTTGCTCTTGTCTAATGCCGTCTTTTGGGGCCTAGTTTTGCTAATCTTGAGGTTTTTCAGCTTTTCTTATTATTGGTTTTTTATATGGCTATTTTCTTAGTATGATTCTATGATGTCCGGGCTGGAGTAACGAAATCAAGAGAGGTGCATGATAATATTATCAATACTTTCCCTCATGAGTATGTTATTGCATATCATTAATTGATTTTTCAACTCACAAGCTTGATGAATTTATATGACATTTACTGACTTGTTTAACCTACCAACAGGCATATGAGAAATGCTTTCAGAATCTCCACTATATCGAACGACATGAGGAGCATACAATTGCCCATGCAATTCAAACAGCATATAAGAAGACTAAGGTGTATAACTATCTTTTGTCATTTCTTTTTATCTCACTCTCGGGTCTTCCCCTTGAGTTAACCCTTCACTTTTGTTGCTGCTCAAGTTTCTCTGCATTCACTCTCTTTGAACATGTATGCTTTGATAGGTGTATCTCTGGCCTGCACCAACTACAACAGGTATGAAAGCTGGAAGAACTGTCCAAACCATTTTGAATTTAGCCGGCTTCAAGAATATCAAATCAAAGGTAACAGAGATCTATCTGATAGGGTTCCTTACAATTAGACTTTACATTTTTAAAACACGACACGAGAACACGAAATGGAAATAATATGAATAAAAAAAAACAAAAAATAACACAGTTTAAAATTTTATAAAAAAAAACAATTGGTTTAATAAAAACAAAAAATATATTTTGTATTTTGTGTATCTATACGAATTGTGACATGCAATATTTGTGTAAAACAATAAAACAGTACATGAATACTCAAAATTTTAATGTTTTACATGATACAAGTAAGAATCGTTAGGTCTACCTAGAATGGCTTTTAGAATTCGGCTTCTTGTTGTTAACCTCAGCTTGATTCTCAGGTTGTTGGCTCAAGGAATCCTCACAACACCGTCAAGGCTCTTTTCAAAGCCCTCAATGCTGTAAGTAGTCTAATTTTTTTTCATTTTTACACCCTAAACATCTCAATAACTGCTGTCGTCTTTACATAATTACAGGTTGAAACTCCACAAGACATTCAGGAGAAGTTTGGTAGGACAGTTGTTGAGAAATACTTGCTACAGTAAGATGTTTTACAGCCGAAACAACATACCTTGTATTTTCTCAATTTCGATTTTTGAATGGTTTGAATTATATAAATTAGATGACAGAAAAAAAAATGAAAATTTTGCCATTGCTTGTAGCTTTCCCATGTATTTGGTAGACATATAGAAACTTCAGTCGGGCCAAACAAGCTCGGAGTTGGCGACATTTTCCTCTAGGTCCACCATTAGCAGCAGATAAAGGGAATTGAACAAGTCTTTTTTTTTCTTCAAAATTCTGCCATTTAATATTCTGGTAGCACAACTCTGTCTCTAATGGCATTCATCTTGTCCGCCGTAGCCCTTGCCCCTTGCATTCATAGTGAGTCGTTACCTTGGTGTGTTTCATTAGCATCCTGTGTGATCAAGTTCACTTCAGGCAGTTTGTACCCTTCTCTTTTACCGAAACTTTGGTCATCATGGATACTCTTTGAACAGTGGTGACTGTTTACTTTTAAAATAATTTTATGAATAGAATCAAAATCTCTTTCATAAAGGAATAAATTCAATCATTGAAATTAAAAATTTAGCATTCTATTAACAACAACATATCACTCACCACTGTTAATTGTATCAAATAGCAATTGATATTTGGTAAATATAAAGCTTTATTTAGGTAAATGTACTTTTAAAAATAAATTTATTTAAATTGATCTAAAAAATATTTACTGAATAAAAATAAGAAGCTTCTGCTCTTACCATAATTTGCAAACTCGATCCTTATCTGCAAATTTTGCAATTGTTTTGTGTTTCTAGTGACTTCACCCAAAAGTAACTTGCCTCATTGTAGTTGACCTGGAAGATAGAAAGCTTGAATTGTTATGATCCTTGCAATTGCTTGTCTATGCAGAATGCATTTTCTCATAATGACATGTTACTGTCCTAAAGATTTTATCAAAGCACAGATGAAAGGGATGGGAGCACTCAAGGATGACAAGCCAAAATTTGTCCTCGTCTAGCCAAGCGTTCCTCATTAATGGTTTTTGGGATATAGATAAAAGTGGGCGACCCAACAAAATTCGAAGTAATTTGAGAATGGGAAAAGGTTGTCTTCCTAAAGCGGAAAGCCGAAGCAGTGATTTGTCAATCTAATAATTTTAAACACGAAAATATTATATAAAATAGGCACGAGCGACATGGTTTTTATAATTTTAACAAACGCTTAAACATGAATTTGATAAAATTTAAAAGATACATTTTTATTTTTATAATTTTTAACAAAAAAATTAAATATAAATTTGATAAAATTGAAAAAAAAATATTTTTTAACGTATCTAATACAATAATTTATATGTTTTACATGTATTAAATATAAAAAATATATTAATACATAAATTATCAAATATAATAATTTAAATAAAATTAAATACTCATGACTATCAAATTTCAAGATTGTTCGTACATGTGTGAATGAAAATTAAGTAGAGATCTTGTATAAGGATTATTGGTGAATAAAATCCTAAATTTTAAATTTGTGCATACTTTAGACCCCAAAAGTTGAATTTTGCCCTGCAAGATACATCATTATGTATTAATTGAGCCAATATCAAATTTTCTTCGATAATTGAAACCCCACAGCCAAATGATAGTTTATACCCTGCTGCCTACATTTAACCTCGTTACAAGCAAGTAAGAGTATGAACGAATCATATATTGAAGAATAGTTTATAAATAGATTCAATTTTTATCTATTTTATTTATTTATTAAATTTAATAAATGATCATAAAAATATTTTAAAATTTAATCAAATAAATAGATTGTTAAAATGATGTTATCTCATATCTAATAAATATTTAATTTTTTGTAATCTTATATTCAAATTAGATCATTCCACTTATAGTCAATTTGTTTTAAATTGGATATTTAATATAATATCAAAACCAAGATTTTCATTTATTGCAATTTCAAATCTCTCACGTGATAGATTTTTTCATTTTCGTTTACACATGATAAGGGCATGTTAAGGTAGTGTTATCCTATATCTAATAAATATATAATTTCTTATAATCTTATATTTAGGTTAAACCCCTTCACTATTTGATTTCTTGTAATCTTATATTTAGATTAAGCCTCTTAATTTATTGCCAATTTGTTTTAGGTTGATTCTTAATGTGATGTTATCTAATATCTAATTTTTTATAGTTTTATATTCAAGTTGAACTTTTTCATTTATAGTTAATTAATTTTAAGTTAGATACTTAACATAGCATCAAAGTCAAGATTTTTTTCTATTGCTATTTTCAAATCTCTCACATGATAGTTTTTTTTTATTTTCGTTTACATGTGATTGGGACATGTTAAAATGATGTGATCCCATATCTAATAAATATCTAATTTCTTATAGTTTTATATTTAGATTGAACTTTTTCATTCTTTGATTTTTTGTAGTCTTATTTTCATGTTAAACTTATTATCAATTAATTTTAAGTTGGATCCATAACATTTGAATCTTTAACACGAGGTAGAATGCTTAATATAATATCAAAGTCAAAATTTTCTTTTATTATACTTCCAAATCTATCAAGTAGGTTGAATTCTTAATACGGTATTAGAGTCCATTTTTTTTTTTGTTGTCATTTCTAAATTTATCATGTAAATTAGACGCTAAATATGGTTTAGAGTTAGAATTTTTTTTTTTTGCTATCCTTTCCAAATCTGTCATATAATAAGTTTTTTTCATCTTTTTTTACACTTATAGGAGGATATTAATTTTATATTTAATAAATATTTAATTTTATGTAATTTTATATTTAAGTTGAATTTTTTTATTTACTTTTAATTAATTTTAAATTAAATATTTAATACATGTCATGAATATAATAAAATTTATTTATATTCAATTTATTTACGGTATGTAAATAAATAAAACATTTGACGATTAGTTATTGAATAGGCTCAATTTCTATTTAATTATGTTGGTTTATGAAAATATTTGAGATAGTAAATAAAATGAAGGAAGGGAGTACATGAAAGCTGCAGTGGCCACATCTAGAAATCAAGGTGCGAGGTGACAGTAGGGAAGAAAGATTTGTCAGTTAAATTTGCTATTCTGAGAACAAAAAATGCTATTTTTGAGGTCCGTAGAAATCAGGAGGTGCGGGTGGTCTCAGGAGGAAATAGAATTGGAAGAGGTAATGATTATAAAAAAAAATGAAGTTATCTAGAAACAGGTTGGTTAAAAATGAACTGTGATGGTGCATGCTGTGCAAGGACAGGATAAGCAGGGATAGGGGGTGGTAATAAGGAATGATAAGAGTGAGCTTATTGATGGAATAGGAAAGACAGTAAAAGCCGATTCTGCACTGTTAACAGAAGGGTTAGCTCTGAAAGCTGGAGTTGAGCTAATAGTTGAAAGGAAATATCAAAAGTTGGTTGTCGAAACAGAGTCTGAAATCCTGTTTAGTAACTTGGATAGAACAAAGGATAGGCAGGATTGGAATTTGAGGCCTGTGGTAAAGGATGTCTTGCAGCTATGGGAGCTAATACAGGAAATGAAGCCGGTTTTGATTAGAAAACAAGCCAAAAAGGCAGCAGGCTGGGTGGGCAGGCATTCGAAAATAGTGATGGGTGGATTGGGTTTGGCGTCGGCAACCTCCATCTTCGTTTATTGGTGTGTTGAGTAGAGATGGTTTAGCAGCACCACATGTTAATTAGCTTGTCAAGGTTGGATAATTGTTGAATTTAGTGTTTCTTAGAGAAAAGATCCCAGTATTGAGATTGATTGACTCATTCTTTGATTAGAAAAAAAAAAAAAAATATCTCATAATTTGTTAATTAAATTAATAAATAATGAATATAACAAAATTAAAATAATTTATATTCGACACTAAATGCAATCCAATCGGGGCCCCACCTTCTTAACAACCACGATCCCCAAATTCATTTTTTAATTCGAGGATAGGGCTAGCTTCTCAACCCCCACCGACCATCCTCCCAAATTCAATTCTTTTTTGAGGATAGGGTATCTGAATTCAGCCTATTTTGTTTTATTCATTAATTAAATGTTTGTAAAGGATGGGGCCCCCAATTTTGATTAAATGGTCATTGGCCGCTTCATTTCCATGTGAAGGAAATAAAAAATTTTGGCATCGACTGCGTCACTGAAGATAACCGCAAGCTGCATGTGGATCGAATAAAATTAAAAAAAAAAATGTTGGGGGGTATGGTTCAATTGTAAAGAATTATAATACTTTATTATCTAGTTTAGAAGAGATTTAAAGAGATAATTTTGTTACATTATTTCAATTGTGAAATTTAAGTTTTGGACAAAAATATAAAGGTATATTGTATTCTTTCAATTTGCTTATTTCTCATTGTGGATATTTTTCAGATTTTGTCGCATGTTTTTTTTTTCTATATCTTAAAAGGTTTTTCACATAAATTTTAATTTTTTATTTTGTTAATATTATTTATTGTATGATTTAGATTTTATTTTTATTAATTAAACCAAGTTGTCTAGGTATTATTATTTTCACATTATTTCACTAATATTTTGTCCAAAGATCTAACAATGTTCAAATGAGAATTTAATTTTAAATATAAATAAGTTATAAATGTATAATAAAAGACAGAGAATTTTTTTATAAAATTACAAATACAAATTATATAAATTTTATATTCACATAAAAAATTATTAAATAATTAAACAAACAAATCAATCAACAAATTAGAACAGTAAAACTTAAATTTCAGACTTTGAAATTCTAAAATATGCTCTTTATCATTAAATCAAAATTTTATTAACTAAAAAATTAAAGAATTTTAAATTCAAATAAAAAATAAATTAATAAATATAAATAATATCAAACTATTTTATTTTATTATCATTATGGTTTCCTTATATTTCTATTTTCTTCTCCCACATTCAATTATTTTTCATTAGTATTTATCTTATGTAATTTTAGTATATGTTATAAATATATAGAAAAGACATCCACTTTACAAAAGTAAAACTAATTAATTTTTATAAATTTTTTAATATCTTTTTATAAGATTTATAAAAATTCAGGAATATAATAAAACATGCAAGATTTAATGTCATTAGACTACCCTTATCTTATAAAATATAGAGTCAAGTCTGGATAGGCTTTCTCTTATAAAAATATAAATTATTTTAGAAGCAAAAAACTTTTTTGGTGACAAAAAGCAAAAATAATTGTGAACATTGAAAATTGGGATAGTGGTCAAAAGAAAACAGGAGATACCGCTATAAAATGAGAACTCAAGTTTTTCTTGTCACACCTTGACCGAAACAATGGAAACTTGGTTTCTGATCCTTCTCACAATCTCCATTTCTCTTCTTCTCAAAGCCTTCTTCAACCTCTTCTCCTCTCCCAAAAAGCTTCCCCATACTCTACCCCCTGGCCCTTTCACTTTCCCCATCATCGGCAACATCTTATGGCTCCGCAAATCTTTTCTCCAAATCGAACAAATCGTCCGCAACCTCCATCTAAAGGTTGGTCCCATGGTCACTCTCCACCTTGGTCCTCGTCCCTCCGTCT